TAATTAGAATGCAAAAATTTAGCTGTCTGTTTTTTAACATAATGCACCTAAGCCTAAAATTTTTGTCACATCTCTCCCAGGAGTGAGCTTTCTTGCATTTGTACTAATGTCTTCTCTTTCCTTGTGGCCTAAAATACAAGAACAGTCACTACTCTTTGTAGCTAGTACTTTTACTTATTTATTGGAAATAGAAAAATAAAAAGAAACCCAAACAAGAAAAAGTATTAAAAATGTTGTTTCCATCCTTCCTCTCGCCTTGCTCCTATGAGCAAACCATTCTAAATCAAAGCTTGGGTCAAGAGCCCTATTTCATCCAAGCCAGGTTACCATTTTTACAAGCCAACTCAACAAGGTGACATAGTTCTGGTCCAGGCCACCAGAACTTCCCAGAACACATTGCAATTTATTAAACAGATGGAGAGAGCCTGATGGGGGAGCCAACCATGTCCCTGAGTCCTGTCTGCTGAGCAGTTTACTGACTGAGGTTGTCATATCAAAAATCTCTCCCCTCCCGGAGCACTTGCCTGGTTCAGAGAACACAAGAGGATGGACAGGTTTGGCAGCAAATGGGCACAGCTCAAGCAATGCATTGTGACTTATTCCATTTTTCTTCACAGCCTCTGTAGCTCTTCTGCAGCAGCAGCAGCTCTTTAGAGACTCTTGAAGGATTTCAGTTTTCACTATCATATTTTCCCTGTCCTGCAATCCACAGTACTTTATTTGCCTCCTATTCACACTGAGCACTCAAATTCTCTTACTCTCAATTTTTAACCCTTTTCCAGCAGGAGACTCCTGTGGATGTCTTTTCCCTGCCTAGGTGCCTCCTTCTTTTTTATTGATTAACAAAGTCTGAACCTCAAGGTGAGTTTTTTTTCCCTTCCATTTGCTTTTAGCCTGTGTAATCCCAACACAAGTCTAATAGGGAAATGTAAAACCGGATCTGAGCTGTTTTTAATACAGTGTTGAGAGGTGGAGTTGGCTGGAGTTCAGTTTTGTGCTGAACAGCTCACTGTAGCTCAATAAAGACTTGTGTCTGTGTTTCTGTTTATATGGCTGGAGCAGAGCACAGAGTATGCTTTTTCATTTATAATCATACGGACACAAGACAAACACCTCTTAGCTTGTAGAAAGACAGGTCATAAAATGAACTCCCAGGAGACTGGAAACCTACATTATCAGTCCTTTTTCTACTGGAAGCAACCCAACGCAATGGAAGCGTTGTTCATGGAAGTTTAGTTTAGTCTTAGCAGAGTCTAAGTGACCTGGGGCATACTCAGCATCATGTTTACTCAATGCAACTATTTTACACAGGAATCAGCCAAGTAACACGAAAAAGAAAAAAGATAAGCCATAAATCAGGAGCCTTACCTTACTCCACAGCAGTGTTTTCTACATATATGCATGGGGAGGAAGGATGATTGGGACTTACAAACCAGATTGTCATGCTTAATGCATAAGGCCCTGCATATTGCTGTATTCAACAAACACAAAAGAACTTCCAAAGTGCATTCCATGTCTGGTTTCAACACATAACACAGAGTTAGAGTCATAGGTAGTTATATTGTGGCCTTGTCTGTTGTGGCCTACTGCAATCTTGTGCTACCCTGTCCCACAAAAACACCCGCCTTACTCCCACTCTGCTTTGTGCCAGTCAGAGTCACTTGGAGTCACCCCAGCTGCCACAGCCAGACTGACCCTCGGCAGATGGTACACCTGGAACTGGAGCGGCCATAACACACATTTCAGTGTGTGGATGCATACACATATGTATTCCACAGATTACTTATTAACATGTATTTAAAGCCTTGTAAGATATGGGTTAAACCCCTTTTTCTTATTAATAGGCATTTCTTTCAAATCCTGCTTAAATTTTGGGCAGAAATGCTGAGAAATGGCGCAACACAGCAAAATTATTTTGCTGATTATACTTTAGGACAGCCTCCCACAGTCATGCTGGGCTGGCAGAGCAAACTGTGCCACACCTACAGAGGATTACCCAGGTCATACCAGGATATGAACCCACTCAACACTTCTCAATTTGTCTTTGGAGCAGGTTGTGCAGTGCAGCCCTCTCTGCTCTCATCCATGTTAAACACAGACTCTGCTAAGAATTCCTAACACATGCATATCTGTCCTGAAACTACCCACAATAGGGATTAAAGAGATGTACAATTTAACCTCAATTCATAATCCTGCTTAAATCAGGAGCAAAATAAATCACTAAGAGCAATGACAGCACTGCTCTCAGCGCTCTGTATGTGACCCAGGCAGATCCCTTTGGAAGTACAGGAAAGGCCTCTGCATCCACTAAAGGAGCATGCTGAGTACCCACAGAGTCCTGTGTGCTTTCCATGGATCCAGGATGCAAACCATGGTATGGACAGCTATCACAGATGCACTGAGCTGACTTTCTCGAAGAAATAACTTACTACACCAAGTTGACTGTATTCCAGATATATTCCATATGCTTGATAGAGCAAGTATCTTTGGAGATACCCTCAACAGCATCTGTAACTGTAGCTTCCTTACAGAGCCTACTCCTCTTTCTGCTTTTTCATTAGCAGTGTTAGCAGTTTATTAACCCTGATTCTGGGTGCCAGCTGTGTCAGGATGCTCTACAGTCAGGATGCTCCATTTACTGGGAGAATTTTAAAATAGAGTGTGGCAGTCATTTTACAGCTGAGATCACTAAAAAGCTGAACTAAAGGAATTCCATCCTTCTGGGAACATCTTAACACTTGCAGTTTACTGGGCGCTTGTGGTCAGTTCATGTCCTTATTCAGGTCACAGCTGACAAAGGATAGGATTTTCTTTTTTCAGACAGTGAATACTTTCTCCTGTTTTAGTGAGGAGATGGGATTTCTGTAGTATCCATCCAGGCCAATACTAAGCCACAAAGTTATTCTAGTAACAGTGTTTGTATCTAAACAAAAAGAGGACCAAGGCAGACACTGTGCACCATTTCCCACCATGCTGAAATGAGTTCACACTCAGACTCAGTTTTTATAGCTGCCCCCTCTTTGCTTTTATATTAAAGAGCATCGTCTCCTTGGGAGAGATAACTGGAATACTATTCCCTGAGAGAAATGTATGGCTCTGGAAAAAAAAAAAGATTTTAAGGAAAAGCCTAATCCCATTACAAGGTCTGATGCAGCTGCAGGAGAGATAAACTGGACAGCCATTTAAAAAATTTAGGTTGGTTATAATGGCCCAAGCTAATCTGTTTCTTACTCACTGTATTTTCTAATTCCTTTCCTAACACATTGCCTACAGAATTTCATGGCAAATTATTTTTTTTAAGCAACATTATATGTTAGCAATAACCAGGATGCTCAGATCTGCACTTTCAGAACACTTGAAGGCATGTTCAGAAGATGAGGTTTTGCACCAAATTTGTCAGATGGGGGGATGGGTACAAAGTTTATATTGATCAGATTTATTAATAAAAATAATTTCTCAGAAATCTGATACATAAGCTGATTTCTAGAGTTTTTAGTAATTATTATGAAAAAAGCAAACCCAAAGTCACAAAGTCTCTTTCATTCCCTCTCATGCACACTCAGCTGGTGTAGGAAGAAGGCTGATCAGCCGTGCTCTATTTTCACACTGAGGATGTAAATGGACAGGAGTGTTTGCGTGGCTCGGTGCTGGCTGTATCACACAGCTGCCGCTGCTTTGGCGTGCACGGGGCCAGAGCAAGGTCCCTGCTGTGCCAGGGGGTGAGGAAGGCTCTTCCAGCTCAGCCCAGGAGCTCTCGGGCAGCTGAGCGGGCGGCCCTGGCACGGCTTTGTGCCACTCCGAGCGCCTCTGCTGGGGCTGCAGCACAGCTCGGGCTCTGCCCTGCCCCTGCTGCACACGGATCAGGGAAAAGGCCATGCAATTAAGTTACTTTTCCAATGTATTCGGTAAAAGCAGGGAGTCTTATTTTACTTCTTTAATTCCACGTTACGCAATTTTGGATTTATAAAACATTTGTAGGAAAAGTTTGCCAGAAAATGCAACTCCTTCTCCTGCCCAAAAATGGGAGCATTTAAATTTTTTTTTCTCAGGAAATTTTTGGTTAATTTTGATATAGCCTTTTTACATTTAATTTCCAAGCAGAAACAGAAGTCACAACAAAAAAAAAAAAAAAAATTCTCATCTAAAAAAAATTAATTAATTACTACTTTTACCAGAAAAAACTTCTGGTTTTGATTTAGACTCCAACTTTTGTTGGCACCAATTTTTCAGGCAAGACATTCCAGACAGCTTGAAATTTGAAGATAATTTGAGAATTATAAACATGACCACCTACCAGATCTGTAAAAGTTACTTATTTAAAACTTTAAAAATGTGAATATCCATCCATGCAAGTAAATGCCCATGGGGCAGACTTCTTTTTATCTGACATAATGTTGACAACAGCTTCTTAAACAAGAAATCTCGGGCTCCCAGTAATCCCACAGGGAATGCACAGAGAGCACTTTGTGCACAGAAGCTGGAGTCAGCCTTGCCATGCAAAGGTTTCGGAAGCTCCATTGAGCAGCATGGACATACCACGAACAGTCTGGAATAAGAGACCCACTGGCTCTTGGGCTTTCCTCATTTCCATGCTCAGCTTTTCCTTTTAGGCAGTCTACATGTCAAGGGTTAGCAGATCCATCTTTTGTAAATATCACTCCTACCATGCAACTTTCAGTGTTATTTTAAATCAAAATACATATTTTCATCCAGATGCAGAACACAATTTAATGAAAACCTAGAATCCTCCATTTTAGCAGACACATTTTAGTCTCCAAAAACCATAGAAAATAATTGCCAATGTCCACCTCAGTGCAGATACATTTCACTGTAATCCACCCCAATGCATTTAATTTCTTTCCTTTCTTTGTTCTGCCCTAGTGCCATTTAACTGTCTCCCTCTTTACACATAGCCACACTGCTTTTATATATCCTTCATCTTATAAAGTGTGCTTCACCAACAGGCTAAGTAAACATTTACAGTGATATATAACACTTACTGACAACGTCAAGCCAAATAGACTGTGATCCAAGAACAGGCTTGATTTCCCTCAGTCTCCTCTCCTCAGGCAAAAGCTTCAGTGAATAGATGAACCCTATTCTGCACCTTGAAGGTCAAAAGAATAGCTCCGACAAACCAACAGGGAAACAAATTCTGGGGCTGACAGATTTCCTCCATGAACCGTCTGCCTCCAGCATCCCAATAACTGAACTTAAAAATTGCTAAGAAAATAATCCATTTATTAGGTGCTATCACAGCACAGAACAAGAAAAAATCACTGATGCCCAGATAGTCGGCATGCAAACCGCAGCCCCGTGGCTTCTAACTAGCATTTCAAATTAGGCCACTCGGAGGCTTGGCATTTGAGAGCAGCTTCTTGTTGGTGTAACTGGGTTTTCATGCAGTTCTACAGGCTTGGCTGCTCTATTACAATTTTTTAACTCCTTCAACAATTCTGAGATAATTAAATATCAACTTGAATTAGCAAGTTGCAATAAACAATCCCCTGTGTACTATCAAGCTGCTTCCTGTTTTACTTTGCCTTAACAATCACTTTTAACTCTCCTTCGGTTCTTCCTTCTCTCAAAAAAGGAAGAATCTCATTCTCTCTCAACAGTTCTCACCTGACTCCTCCTGAGTGACTTTACACAACTAAGGCTATGGACTCCAGGAGCTGTACTGGGCGCTCCAGAGAAGCTGCCACTCCTGCTGTGCCCAGCGCCGATGCGCAGCAGCCCCACACGGGCAGAGGCACAGATCCCATGGCACAGCCTGTGCTGCTCCCTGGCACCGGGGCACAGGGACACCCCCTGCCACGTGTCACACACGGAGCCCCGGTGCCATCGCTGTGGCTGCCCAGACACTGCAAGGTCAGGCTGCCTTCTGCCAGCAGAGGTACTGAAGTGAGAGTGTGAGGAAGAAAAGCTGATGTAATGCCTTCCAGGAAGGTGATGAAAGAAAGAGGAAATAAATGTTTGGCTTTTTGTCCTCGTCTCGTCTCAGAGTCACTCATTTATATTATTAATATAGTTATTTAAAACTGTTTAAGAGACAGTGCATCTGCACTCACTTCACGGGTTTCAGAAGTAAGGGATTTGGGTTTTTTTTTTTTGGAAAAACTAACTAAGAAACACTTAAAAATCAATCAGAAAGATAATCCCCTATTTCCTGTCCCCATGTCTCTCTTCATTTGCATGCCACAATCTTATGTCATAGTGGCTTGTTTTATTTGAGTTTGTGTTTGGGGTGTTTTTTTGGGGTTTTTTTCGTTTGTTTGTTTTGTTTTGTTTTTTTGGTTAATGAGGTAAAATAATATAGTCCTGTACAGAGAATTCATTATTTCAAGTGTTGTTGTATTTTCACTTACTGCTTAAAACAGTGAGAACTGAGAATCTGAGTCTTTTCTGCAGTATAAATAAACTTGTATGAATCTTATGCAACTCTAGTCTTTTATTTACTTTAGTTTATTTCTAAGTCTGCCATTTTCATGTTTTTCCCTAAGGTAGTAGTAGATGAACCATAATTTTATTACAAAAGATGTTACCTATACATCTATAAATTATTTCCACATTGCTAGCAAGACAGCATGGAATGAGAGTAAGAGATGTCTGCTGTAAATTTAATATAGCTGATTATTTTCAAGCAGATGGACAGAACAACAAATGCTCCAGCAAACATCCATCTAACCTGTCTGTTCCAAGTATTGCATTTCTGCACCTCAATTTTATTTAAATGTTAGGAAATTCTGCTGTTCTCAGTATGTGCCAGAATGCAAAGCACTGATCATTCCAGAACAACCATTAATCCAATCTGTGGTCAAGGAAAGAACATTGACTTTCAGCTAATAATCATTCTGGCATTACAGATAACATGTTTATAAAATGAGAGGGAACCATGTCCTTGTATCTTGGTCAATGAATCCTGCAGTTTTATATTTATTATGGTCTTAAAAATCTATATTCAGACTCTTTTGTGAATCACCCTCCTAATTTATTTTCTTTTTAAAACAAAACAAACAAACAAACAAACACCAAAAACCAACTTTATCTCCTCCAGTGACTTCTGCATTTATTTTCCAGAAAGTGTATGAGAAAAAAATACCTCTTCAAAGCACTTGGGACATCACTTAAGTGATGTTATCCAAACAATTGACCCACTTCCTAATGACATTGCTTTTAATGATATCAACTTTTTTTTTTCTTTAAAAGAAGACAGCAAAACAAAAATAACAACAAAAAAAAACACTAAAAAAATACCCTTCCCAAAAACCCCAACCCAGCTTTAGTTAGGAACACACTCAAAGAGTTTTCCAGGTAGTGTCTGAAACTTTCTGGGTTACTTTGAAAGTCCAACTGCATTTCAAGTTTTGGATTTTTGATTTTCATAACAGGCATGTTTTGCACAGTTCCTGCATATTGCAAGGTTAAGAGCCATTGAATTTGCACCATGTAAACAACTCTGGGTTGACTGCATGGAGGCTTGAATGGCATTTCCTTCAGCTTCACCTCTGTAAGGTGGATTTACGCCCTTCCAAACCCTGATGGAAAGAGCAATACAAACTTGCCAAAACAGACTGGTACAGCACGTGCAAGAAAACTACAGTAACACTTTGGTCAAGCCTGCATTCTCAAATTCTTAGGGAATCTATACAGCATTGGCTTTTTCACAGTATTTACTGCATTCTTTACATTAATAATAAAAAAAACTATTTTCAGGTCTCTCCATAGCAAAGGTAAATGAAAACAAGATCTAAGTTCAGCCTAACTTAGTTTTTTTTTTTAGAAGTTAATTTCAAAATCGTGTGCCTAGTACATAGCTAGCGTTTTGTCCTCATTTTTATTTAGAAGAAGTATACAATGCAATCTGCTGGTATTGTAAAGCTGACAGTCAAAAACTGCCTCCAGTGGTCTGAAAATTTCTGTGATATCTTTCCCCAAGTTAAAAAAAAAAAAAAAGGGGGGGGGGGGGGGGGGAGGGAGAGAATTTTGCTCTCTTATTGCTCTGTTTCCTTGTCGAGGACAAGAAAGGCCTTCTAGAGTTAATGAACGTGGCGCTGCGCCCGCAGCGGCAACCCAACCCGCGCAGCTGCGCCGCTGCTGAGTGCCACAGCCCGCGCTGCGCTGGGCGACCCGCTGGGGATGGCCTGGGCAGCCGCTCCGCACCGGGATTGCTCAGCGCAGCAATGCGCCGACCCCTCGCTCCTTCCGGCTGCTGCAGCCCCCCACGGCACCTCTCCCCTGCCTGGCCTGGCCAGCGGGGGCTCCTGCAGCCTTCCTGTACGGATCTCCCGCTACTGCGTCCTGCCCACCGCACCCGTACAGAGCCGCAGGAGAATGCTGCCCCTGCCCGCGGGCTGGGCTCACACCGCTGGAGGAAACCCGGCAGCAGCACGGCCGGCCTCACAGCGCTTCATGGAACTGCCGGGATATTGGCGCTTGGAACCTGACTGCGAGGGGAACGGAACCCTCAGGGCTTCCCTTCTTCTCCAGGGCTGTTTTCAGACAGCTTCACACATAACCCGAGGAGCGGGAGGGCAGCCCGGCCAGCCCATCAGGAAAGATTAGTGTCACCGTCACCGCCCCGCACTGCAGCATCTCGGAGCCGCCTGTGCCTCTGCCCATCCTCCTCTCGGCTCCACCTGCCCTCCCCTCCCTGTCCTTTCCCAGGACAGGTTCCTCCCTCCTCTCGGCCCCACCTGCCCTCCCCTCCCTGTCCTTTCCCAGGAGAGGTTCCNCTGCCCTCCCCTCCCTGTCCTTTCCCAGGACAGGTTCCTCCCTCCTCTCGGCCCCACCTGCCCTCCCCTCCCTGTCCTTTCCCAGGAGAGGTTCCATCCTCCTCTCGGCCCCACCTGCCCTCCCCTCCCTGTCCTTTCCCAGGAGAGGTTCCATCCTCCTCTCGGCCCTTCTGCCCTCCCCTCCCTGTCCTTTCCCAGGACAGGTTCCNCTGCCCTCCCCTCCCTGTCCTTTCCCAGGACAGGTTCCTCCCTCCTCTCGGCTCCACCTGCCCTCCCCTCCCTGTCCTTTCCCAGGACAGGTTCCTCCCTGCTGTCCCGCTGAGCCCTGTTTGCAGCCCTAATGGTGCAAACAGCACTTGACAAATTCAAGGATGGGCCTGGAGCGTACTTTGGGTTTTGGTGAGAGTTTTCTGGTACTGCTGCTCGAGCAGTACTGTGACAGCCATGTGACCCTCTACTTATGCAAATCTGTGGTGGAAGAGAGATATAGTATCTTCTGGTTTGGCTAAAAATATCCTATAAAAATGTACAAAGTTATTCATGGTGTCCTGTGTCAGGACTTGGAAGAAAACAAAATCACAGACACTGAGATAAAAAAAAAAGTCAGAAGTTTGTAGCAGTATTCATAAGTTTTTGGTCTCCAAAATTGTGTTTTCCTCACTTTATGGAAATACTTTCTAGTTAATTTATTTAATTATCTTAGCACTGTCCACATACCACCTAGATTTCATTTCTTACCCAATCGAATTACTGATAAGATACAATACAGAGACTGAATGTTTTTCAGTCAGCTTTTTGAGTATTTTTAAGTATTTCAAAATGAAGTACATAAAGAAAATACCTTAGTTATACTCATCATAACCCCGTCACAGGTTAGAAGGCTTTGCAGGTCAGATTCCAAATGCAAGATAAGGACACATTCAGCTTATTTTTCTACATTTTTTCCCTTTTCCTTTTGTTTTTGGCCACACAAAAATAGGAGATCTCCATAGTGTATCAGGTAAAAATTAAGTTCTGGTACATATTCAAAACACTCATCACTCAAAATTTCACTTTAGGAGAAATTCTACTATGTAAGCATGTCTGAAAAAATGAAAAAAAAGGTAACGGTATTTTAAAAAACAAAACAACAAGTCAAAATCTGCACTATGTGGTATAAACACAAGCCATTTCTGCTGAGGATTTGAAAAAGGTACAATTGTGATTTATTTTATGAAATTGGCAGTGCAATAATGTCATTGACACAGAACATGGAAACCTCTCATGTTAGTTCCTATATTAAAATTGTCCTCAGTTTATTACAAAGAAAATAAAGATAGATGAAGGTCATGGTTTCCTAATGATATATATTATTTTAAATTGTTCAGTAAAGTAAGAATCTGCAAGAATTTCTACCCATCTCCTTGAGTAATGTGTCCTTTTACATTCTCCTCCTGCTGTATAAAAAATGCATAAAGTTTCTCTCTACTAAGAGCAGCAGTACTTTTAGTGGTCCTTAGGGATCCCTGAGGGCAGTGGAAGGTGTAGAGTCCTTTTCCCCTTCCCACAGACTCTGGGGTACACCCTGTAGGGGTTCACATGCAGGTGAAAGCTGTATTGGCAAT